TAAACTACTGAACTGATTTCAATGAAATTTTGCACACTTTGTGCAGTTTGGTCCAACTTGAGAGATGGGATAGTTTTTGGATAGTTTTTATCCCAATAAATGACCATCAAAATTTTTTATAGCGAATTTAAGGATTTTTATAGTTAGGGTCGTTGGAAAGGCCATAACGATGTCTGCCTGGCGAGCTAGTATATATATTTATATATATATATATATATATATATATATATATATATATATATATATATATATATATATATGGATTGCTCGTAAAATAATATAGGATTTAAATATCTAGGTAAAATCAATATCTGACTATTAAATGGATGCAAATGCTTCTAAATTTCATAAATGGTCGACAAAATTATTCAATTTGTATGATTTGTCTTGTGGTTGACTTCAAGAAAAAGAGGATGATCTCAATTCGAGAGCATATGTTATTTTCTTTTCTATATTTATATCATCATGATATCGTCATCAATTATTGTGAATCGATTTTAATGATTCAATTTTTTTTATTAAATAGGGTTTTATCGGTGTGTTATAAAAAAGCTGTTATCAAGGGTAATCTTCTATAAATTTAAAAAAATCCACATTTAAGGGCGTAAAATTATAGATGAAGTTTTTAATGTAACTAATTAGATGACATTCAAGCTGGCGATATTGCTTAGTCCGCTCAAAAGAGTCAAAAATAAGACCTTTAATTAAAAACAAAATCAGACTTTACGGAACTAAAAGGAATAAAATAATATTTACATAATAGCTTCTGAAGTCGGAACTTTAATACTTTTTAAACATGTCTTAATGCCGACTTTTAAAACGGATTCTAAACCTGAAAGTGAAAATAATTGATATTCTTTTTAGTTATTTTTATTTATTTATCTTCAACTGACTGTTACAGCGGGAGGATTTATGTCGTATGAGGTTCTCTCCCAGTCAACACTTTGAAGTCGGCTTCTACTTTTTATCAAGTCTCTTTTTGCTTTATATTTTTGGAACGAAGTTCCTTATCGGACGGTACGGGTTTGGCGGATGGGAGCTAGGCGACAAAAAGTGTAAGATTTTTTCGTCACTAGCCCTTGTGTATTTTAAATGACGCTTCATTTTAATAGACACTAACAATTAATTTATTTATATTTGTTAATCAATGATATAATACGTTTATCAATAACAATATACTATGAAAGGAACTTCGTTCCAACAGAGTTTTCCACGACACTCACGCATGTTTTTATTTTATTGTAAAACTATCATTCAAGGTTCAAGCCTTTTATTTAGTCAACTAAAACAAAAAATGACTGTGTTTTATTTAACGCTTATTTATTTTAATGCATTTTAATAGGCGTGTTTTCAAATGGTTGTGTTGGTTGGATCACTGTTTTATTAATTTTACGAGAATATCATGTATGCTCCTGTTTCTAGGAACTTTTCTTAACACTGCTAAAGCATAACGAAAGGTAATATTACAATTATTTAACATTTAATTAAAAATTATTAAAAAAAATATTAAGCTTCAATTGTCATATATCATGTACGCATATCACAATGAAATTATGCAACTATTTTCAGCAACGTTCAATCAAAGAAATTGTCGATAAACAGGAAAATGAGTTAATGCTGATTTCATCAAAAAAATTATTAATTTCGTGTTACGCCTCATTGCATTCAAAATAAATTGCCGATGTGAATATAAATTGAATCGAATTTTATCGAAAATGTCAATTAAAATGTAAAACCGTGTATTCAGTAAATTCAACAACCGAAAATTTTAATGTTACTCTCAATGCAATCGTAATGAAATTTCTACATGCAATCCAACAAGCCAACAACGTCGTTAATTGAAAAGAGAAGACTAACGTTATAAAATCACTATTTTGGTTTATTTTTTTTATATAAATAGAGTGGGGAATAAGCACTTAGCCCGCCAAATACTAAGACCAAACAGCAGATACGTGAGGAATGACTCGTTATCGGTAAAAGCGGTCTCCGGTTCTATACGCTCGCTATACAAAATACAGCAGCAATATATATATATATATATATATTACGCTGGTATTCTGGGAGAGCCTTTTCCTCCCCCGGCCATAATACAACTGCAGCGAAGCGTAGAATAATATACTTGAATGAAAATTATGATATACGAGTATATACATCTATACTGACACTTACATCTTTATATATAAAAATTACGTGTCACATTGTCTATCCGCGATAAACTCCTAAACTGCTGAACTGATTTCAATGAAATTTTGAACACTGTGTGCAGTTTGGTTCATCTTGAGAGATAGGATATTTTTATCCCAATAAGTAACCCTAAATTTTTTTATTGCTAATTTCAGGAGTTTTTTTTTTTAGGAAAGCAAATGTTCGTCGGGAAGGGCAGAACAACGTCTGCTTGGTCAGCTAATAGAAATATAAATAAAATTTAAGTGTCTGTTTTTAATATAAAAATACTGCATTTTATTGAGTTAAGTAAATTCACTCAGTCAATTCTTAAGATACCCACGAGACGAAATGATGTGATTGATTCTCTGTAGTCGCTACGACATGGCATTCAAAATTGTTGTGTCGACTTAAATGTCGTAGACTTTAAGAGTTAATAATTTTTTAAGAGTTTATCATGAATTTTCACGTTACAGCAAACCAATAGGCTTTTTTAGGAATAATGCTGGATATTAAACCATCCCAAACTGTGCCAGCTGTTATGCATTATTTTCTACCGACTTCAAAAAGGAGACGCTACTCAATTCGAATGAAAGAGTTTTTTTATGTGTTACCTCATAACTTTTTACTGGGTGAACCGACTTCGATGATTCTTTTTTTATTTGAAATCAGGTGCTTCACAAGTGGTTCCATATAACTTTGATCAAGGTCTGACCAACAGTTTTTGATTTATTCTTAATAACTTATATTGAAGTGGGTTCTACTTCTATTTTTAATTTTAAATTATTAAGTTTTTTGTTTATATAATAATTCGATAAATGAGCACAGGGACCATACAGTAAAAAGGGTCTCCGGTTCTCTACACTCACCATACAAAATCCGGGAGCATTAAGTCGCTAATTTACGCTGATATACTGTGAGATCGGGTACTTCCCCAGTCTAGCCAACCCATTCGCGCTGGAACTATAATATAGCTGCAGCATGGCTCCACCACGTATAGAAAGATTTGCCCATGCACATCCAAATGCCAACACTAAGAAGCTAAGCGATTTTGATTTAGGGTTTTCGATCAATTTTCGCCATTAGTCGGTCGCTAGAGCATCAAAACATAAATCATCAGCGTACACCGCGCACACGTGCACTGGTTTTCACTTGAAAAAAAAAGCATACTGGCATATTTACTTGCATGACAAATAAAAAAAAGCTTATCTCAATTAGCTCAGACCAATTACATAAACAATTCAAACATTATCAAAACCTAGAATATTTGAATTTGTTAGACATAAACATAAACAACGAATGATATATTTTTATGGCACTTTAAAAATACGTATGTGTAAAAAAATTCGTTGTTGACGGAGATCTCTTTAGCCTTAAAAGTGTACAGCAAATTTATATGTAACTAGCGATCTGCCTCGGCTTAGCACGTGTAATTTCGGGATTTCGACAACAGCGCCACCTGCCGGATCCAATTGTAAATCTAAGCCATCCTGGAACCCACTCAAATACACACAAAAAATTTTTGCGAGATTAACACAGCCATTGGTTTTTATATACATAGGTTAGCTATGCTTTAAACTGATTTAACGGCAACATTCAATTAACACTAATCACCTGTAATTTAAGTAATTGCGAATAAAATCAAATTACTGGATTTAATTAGTAATAAATCGTGACGTTAACTAATATTATGACTTTCATACTCCTAAATAACTCAACTTAAATATTGTAAATGAAAAACCTTTCTTTGTAGGTTACCAGTCCCTAAAAGTCCATTGTTGGACATGGGTCTCTTTCTTTGTAAAAAGGATTGGCCATAGTCGTCATGTTTGGCAGGAGGATTAGTAATCGCATTAACAATAATGTCCTCCAGATCAAATTTCGGTCACGACGGCTAGTCACAACGGAGACTAGATATTTACGCAGAACAGGTTTGTAGTGCACGAGTGTGTGCGCAAGCCCAGATGCATATGCAGGTTTCTTCACGATGTTTTCCTCAAAAAACAAGCGCGTGGTGAATCAGCACTTAAAATTGCACTTAACATAATATTGTTGCTGCCAGCGGAGATGCATTTTTTATAGGATAGTGTGACAAACGAGCACACAGTCCACCTGATGGTAAGTGTCTGCTGTGGCCCATAGACATCTACATTTATCCTCGTTTGCGAATCAAAATGTAGATGCGTTGTCACCCGTGAGGCCTAATATAGAATGCCTCTTTTCCAGTAAAAAGGGTATCCGGTTCTCTACATTCACCATACGAAACACAGCAGTGTTAAGCTCCTATTTGACGCTGATATTCTGTGAGAGCGTGGTCCTTCCCCGGTCGAGTCGACCCATTCGTGCTACATCTATAAACGAACGCATACAATATTTTATAAAGGCGGTAGGTGTGCGCGGAGGGCAGTAATATAGGTCTTACATATATGGGTCTAACAAATAGTTAAACAAGTTTTTGTTTACAAGTGATTTTATATTTCCATTAACCATAACAGTGATAAGTGGAACAAGTGTTATTCGCAGTATTTAACCAAGTATAGTGGGATAAGACTAAGTTTTAAAAATCGCAGTGACAATCAGCTGTGAAATCAGCTGTTTTAGTGTACCCCCATTAATTATGTTGAAATTTACTTTTAAAATATAAATTGTAGCATAGTTTTTATTTATTATTCTTCTAATAAGTGAATTACAGAGTCTTTATTAAGTTTTATGTTGAAAAATACCACTAAGCATAATTATTAATCATTCGAACCGAGCAATCAATCTGTGTTGATATTTCTGCCATCTAGTGACAACTGTCAAAACTATACGTTATCAATTAGCTACATCGATTAATAATGGCAAATAAGTGTGGGCACTGCGGTAAATTTATTTCGCAGACAGATGGCGTTAAATGCTCAAAATGCACGTCGACTTACCATCGGCCGTGTGTTAATATTAGCCCCGAATCAAGGATAAGCCCAAAATGGATTTGTAAAACCTGCAAAATACCGCGCCAAAGCCCTGTGCCAGCCGACTATTGTATTGAGGCATCGGTAGACTCAAGAGTTGAATCCCACATTGAAGGTTTATTGGCTAAGGAAATTAAACTCCTTAGAACTGAGTTGAAGACTCTGTCAGAAGAAATGGTCAGTTTCCGGCAAGAAATTGCGAAACTAAACACCTCCATGACACAGTTTAATTCGAGACTGGACAGCGTTGAAACCCGAGTTACCTCCCTGGAACAACAAACGAAGGAGGGTCACAAGTCATGCAATAATAACGAACTGGTAGATATTATTGCGCACTTAAAGCGCGATTTGAATATAAAGGAACAGGCGGCTCTTTCTAATGATTTAGAGCTCACCGGTATTCCTGAACAGAAGGGAGAAAGCCCGGGTCACCTCATGACACTCGTCGCCAAAAAATTGGATGTAGAACTGGACGAGCGTGACGTGGTTAGTGTTGAACGTGCCGGTATGCGTCGAAACCGTGAGAGCTCGGATAGCGAACCACCGCGGCCTAGAGTCATCGTCGTACGTCTAGCGCGGCGCTCTGTCCGCGACCAACTGTTGCGGGCGGCGCGCGTGCGTCGGGGCGCTGATACATCAGGTTTTAATATCAATGGAGAACCGACTCGCTTTTATCTTAACGAGCGCCTGACGTATGCCAACAAGCACCTTTTCCATAGGGCCCGACAGGAGGCACGGCGATGCAACTGGCGATATGCATGGACAAAAAACGGTGTAATATTTGTGAAGCGCGATTCTATGTCTAGTAAGCAAAAAATATGTATGGACTGTGACATTGAAAAGGTTTTTGGTTCTTCATGAATTTGATCTTTTTTATAAAACATTCTTTAAATCATATCACTATGGGCATTTATATTATTATTTTATATTTGAGAGTTAGGATAATAGGCTTTGCTGTGCTTTGCAGTGTTCTTGTCGTATTTTGTTCAGTTTATTTATGTATGTCTTATATATATTTGGATATTTTCTTAACAATTAAGCGACCGTTTACCTTTAATGATTTTCTGAGCTTATACGAAGGTAACAGTGAACTAAATAGTATTATTTTTCTTGCTTTTAATTTATTTGTTAATAGTTCCTATTGTCCTGCTATTATTAATGAAATTGTATATTATTCTTTGTATAATATGCCTGCAATAACAAATTTAGATCAATTATTTCAATACAAAAACGTTCGGGTTCATGTTATCACTGTTAAAATGTTCATACCATACATAGGTTCGATTCCCACCCAGGACAAATGTTTGTGTGATGAGCACGATCATTTGTTCTGTGTCTGGGTGTAATTTATCTATAATATTTATGTATTTAGAAATATATAAGTATGTTTATCAGTTGTCTAGTACCCATAACACAAGCTCTGCTTAGCTTGGGACTAGATGGCGTTGTGTGATAGTTGTGGAATATTGTGGAATATTATTATTATTATTATTATATTATACCAGCATCAAAGTTACATAATATAATACAGCTAGGTCTAGGTATATTATATACATTTTTGTGCAAGTTTAGTATTAACTGCGTCTCATATTATTTGTATTTGTATTATTATTGCATAACACTAATTATATCTATAATGTTATGTATTTATAATTTAATATCTCAAAATGTATCTACATTGTATGATAAATACTTAGTTAAATTAAACCTTAATCAAAGATATCTTACTTATCTTATTGTACATAATGGTTAGGCCGCAGAAATTAAAAGTTGGTTTTTTAAATCCCGGATCACTAGGTACGCATCATGATGAGTTCGTGGTAGCTATGGATCGTCAGAGAGTTGATGTGTTGGCTTTGAGTGAAACCTGGCTCAGGGCAGGTGAAGAAGGAAGGGCACCTCGTGTGCCTGGTTACCACCTGCGACATACTCCTAGGCCGGCAGAAGTTCGTTCTCGCGGTGGCGGTGTAGGTTTCTACATAAGACGTGTTTTACCAGTACGTAATCTACCCTACCCTATATCGCAGTCTATAGAACAAATGTGGCTAAGTGCCAAAATCAATGGTAAAATTGTCATAATTGGCACTGCGTATCGACCACCTTGGCTTCAAGTGCAAAATTTCATTGATGGTCTTTCAGATACAATAAACACGTTCTCGTCGTATGATTATTTACTACTTCTTGGCGATTTTAACATCAACTACTTAGATAAATCCAACCGTAATACTAAAATATTAGATGAATTCATTTTAATAAATAATCTTAAACAATATGTTAACGAACCCACACATTTCACAAGTAACAGCAAAACATTGTTGGATTTAATACTTTCTAACGTATCCCTAAACAAAGTAGAAGTGGAGTACATACCTGATTTGAGCCATCATGCGTTTATATCATGCGAAGTCAATCTTACTACGCACAAATGTCCACCGAGACTTGTTTCTTATAGACCAATTAAAAATATAAATCCTGAACAATTTCATCGACTTTTAAAGGGTATAGATTGGGAAAACATCGTGAATGTGCAAGATGTTAATGTTATGGTTGCTGAATTTAATTCAACCATATTATCTATATATAACCTGTTAGCTCCGATCAAAAAAGCCTATATTAAGGAACAATATCGTCCCTGGTTAACATATACAGTCAAATTAATGATGCGACTCCGTGATCGAGCACATTCAAGGGCACGTTTAACAAAAATAGATTCACATGTAAATTATTATAAACAATTAAAAAAACAGGTCGTGACTGCTATTTATAACGAAAAGACCGCTTATTTTAACACGTACATTAATTGTAATATTAGAAACTCCAAAACGTTATGGGAGCACTTACATCGTCAAATAAATATAAAAAATAAACATGATACTTGTCTACCCTACAATTTGTGTGACCCAAAAAAGATTAATAAACATTTCCTTGACGTTCCAGGCCAAAATTTTGCTTCTCAATCCGCTATCAACTACTTCAAAACCCATAAATTTAGCTCTAAAACTTTTGAATTTAATGAAATAGATAGTAATACAGTTTTAAAAATTCTACATGATCTGAAGTCGAATGCCATTGGGTTGGATGAAATTTCACTGGAAATGCTGTTATCCACTCTCCCATACTCTTTGAATGTTATTACGGTAATTATGAATAGTTCTCTGAGAGATAAGACATTTCCCAAACAGTGGCAAACTGCTTTAATAAAGCCGATTCCTAAGACAGATAATATTACGAATTTTAAAGACCTGCGACCTATTAGCGTATTGCCCTGTTTGTCTAAAATCCTGGAGAAAGCTGTATGTAATCAGTTAACTCATTATTTAGATGAAAATGAAATTCTACCGAGTGTACAGTCTGGCTTTAGGAAACGACATAGCACTACAACAGCTTTGGCCGATGTAGTGGATAATGTTTTAAGTGCTCGGGATTCCGGTATGGTTACAATTCTAGTTCTTCTTGACTATTCCCGTGCATTTGACACGTTAAATAGGCAGTTTTTTTTCTCTAAATTAAACTACTATGGATTAAGCTCGGAAACTATAGATTGGTTTCGTAGCTATTTTAGTGACCGTAGGCAAATTGTCGAAGTAACAGATGAAAACGGCAAAAAAATAGCATCTGATTGCTGTGCTGTTACAAGAGGTGTTCCGCAGGGTTCAATACTTGGTCCCTTGATTTTTTCGCTGTATAGTGCTGATATCGTAAAACATATATTAAACTGTAGCTATCATATATATGCTGATGATATACAAGTGTATATTTCTTTCAAGCCAAATGAGAGTACTGTAGCCATACAAAAATTACATGAAGACTTAAATCGTATAGTCGACTGGTCTGAAGCAAATACATTAGTACTTAATCCTAATAAAACGAAATATATGCTACTTGGTACCAAAAAACAAATAAATAAAGTTTTGGCAAATCGTCCTTTAATTTCAATTAAAAATGTAAATATTGATCGAGTTACCGCGATTAGAAACTTAGGAATATTGATGGATGAGGCACTACACTTCGAAAAACATATAATAAATAATGTTAAAAATTGCTTTTACAGATTAAAAGTGCTATACCAGATAAGGGATGTATTAAAGACGGAAGTCCGTATCAGATTATGTGAGTCCTTGATACTGTCCAAATTCAATTATGCAGATGCAGTAATAGGTCCAAGACTTCTCAACCGTTCAAAGAAACTTATACAGCGCGTGCAAAATGCCTGTGCCCGTTTCTGTTTTAAAATACCTCCCCGTGCACATGTTACACCTTACATTAATAATGCGAAAATGCTTAAAATGGATTACCGCTGGCAGTTACATTTAGCTACGTTGTTGTTTGGATGTATCAAATACAGGGCACCGTCTTATCTCTATGAAAAATTACGCTGGGCTCGAGACAATGTCTTAACAAATGTAGTGACAAGAGCTTCGGCGTACGGGTTGCTTCTGCCCCAACACCGCTCCGCTGCGTTTCGAGGCAGTTTTCGATATGCAGCAACCAAGTGTTGGAACAACTTGCCGCCGCCGTTCCGTAATACGCAATCGATACATAGCTTCCGTCAAAAATATAAATTGTTCCTCTTAGATCAGCAATCTCAAAGTTAAATAGTGCAGATATTTTGATAGTATGTAATTTTATAAAGAATATATGAGCATATATATGTGTATCTATGTGTGCTTGTTTATGTTTATGTATATATATGTACATACATATGTGTATTTGTATGTGTGTATGTTTGAGTATGTAAATATTATTTATTGAAATTATGTATTGAAGCGGTGTACTGCAGCTGGTTTGTGTATTTGCTTGTAACTTAAACTTAATTACGTTTCTGAGTGAATTTCAATGCAACCTCTTACAGTATTAAGAATATTTTATAAGAATTATGACAATATTACAACAAATAAATTTTTGTTATTATATTTGGTTTAACACAACAGAACTGCCCTCTGCTCATAAGGAATATATAATATATGTATATATATATATATATATATATATATTTTATACTTATTTGTGTATTTTTATTTTAAATACATAAGGGTGCCACTGAAAATCAGGGTTGGGGTGCTTCTGATACATTCCAACATATCCTGAGTGGCTTTCCTTTTTGGAGCAGAGCAGCATTAACGGGTGGATTATCTTTATAAAACACCTTATGCATTACTCCTTATTCTCTAGTTCTTTATTATTATTTTTTTCAATATTATTGTCTGCTTTTTTGTTTTTTTTTTTTTTGTATAATTTTACCATATCAATAAACAAGGAGTTAATGTCCTGTTTCATGATTTCTATGTATAATTTTTTGTTTTTTTTTTGTTTGTTTCTATGACTACTTAAATGTTATGTATTTTATGTAATCCGCTTGAGTGTGCTGCATGTGCCAAATAAAATCTGTTTCTTTCTTTCTTTCTTCTTTCTATACTACTAATATACTGCAGCATGGCTCTACCACGTATAAATTGTTGTATAGTGGCATTGTCTTACGCCGACAATACTACACGGCGGGCTTCTCTATTTTCCTATTACGTATATTTATTGACTTAACCTTTTTAAAATATAGCGTCAGTATACAAATTATATTCTTAATTATAGTCCACTACCCCGTATCGTCTAATGGGTGTCGTAAGAAGCGACAGAGGGAAACACACTAGGTTATGGGCAGCAGCGTTTTCACTATAACAACTAAAAAATAAAAATAAAAACGGTGATTGCCAACCCACCTGCCAAGTTTTATTTATAGAATAAAGGTGACAAGCGAGCACACAGTCCACCTGAAGGTAAGTGGTTGCTCTGGCCCATAGACATCTACATCTATCCTCGATTACGAATCAAAATGCGTTGTCACCTGCGAGGACTAAGATGGAATG